TGCATGCTGCTTCCTCACTTACAAACACATCTGATTGTAAAAACTCCATGCATTTGCTTTTCTGAGTAACTCATAAGTGAAAGCATGCAAATAGAGCCGTGCTGGTCTCTCCTGCTTCACCCATCTCTGGGCCGTGTGTCCTGGAGCATGGAGAGGTGCAGGCCAGAGCTGCCTGCCTGGGGCTGGTTGAGGTGATGGTGCGTGCTAAGCAGAGGTGTCACTCAGCTGCCCAGCATGGTTGCAGGTTGAGCTTGGATGTCCTGTGTGTACCTGAAAGTAATGTTTGATAAAGGAGGATTTTGAGAGGCTCTGGCAGAGGATGCGCTTCTGGTGCTGCCTGTTCCGGGGTTTTCCAAGCCTGTGCCAGTGTGGAATAGAGCTCCCTGGCCTCCTGGAGGACTGGGAGCACAGCATCCGGGTAGAGGGGGAAGTGCTGTCACTCAGAGTTTGCTTACCTGTTTCTCCTCTCTTCATTCTAGACCAGTCTGCTTAATCATAAACGAAATCCCTTTTATGGCCACGTGGTTTTTACTCGTGTCAACCTTCAGGTGAGTTGGACGCTGATAATAGTGTTTAAAGACATGTTCTTTCCCCAGCTCCAGTATAAACATCTTTTCCCCTTTCTTTTTATGTTCTTTGAAGTATAACTTGGATTGTGCCCTCACTTCTGTGGGTAATTCTGTTTTAACAGCATGCTGCCTCTGCTGCTGAAAGATGGCCTGCTGCTGGCCTACACTGTGACCATGCTGGCGTTCCTCTCAGTCTGCACCACTTCCTTCTCCATATTTGAGAAGACTTCAGCAGAGGACCTGCAGCTGAAGCAGTTCTCCCTTTCCCTGAAGGGACACGTTTCTTGGTTTAAGTCCTTTCCCAAGATTGTCAGGATGCTGGTGAGTTATTTTGATTCCCACAGCTCTTCCCTGCAACTCTTCCTGGTACTGAAGGACTTGAATAAACCAGTTTTATGTCTGTAACTGCACATTATTCCCTGTGAGGGTGCTGAGGCGCTGGCACAGGGTGCCCAGAGAAGCTGGGGCTGCCCCATCCCTGGCAGTGCTCAAGGCCAGGTTGGACACAGGGGCTTGGAGCAAGCTGCTCCAGTGGAAGGGGTCCCTGCCCGTGGCAGGGGTTGGAGCTGAGTGAGCTTTAAGCTCCCTTCCAACACAAACCAGTCCAGATTCTGTGATACAGCCCCAAGCAGGGGAAGCCACACTGCGTCTGTGTAAAGATGTGCTGGAGTGTTTTTCTGCAAGTATAGAGTGAAGAATACAGAGCAGCCAAGTAGTAAAGTAACAGCTTATTCTTTGAGGTTTTGAATCACCATTAGCTAATGCATCATTCCTTCTCTTACAGTTCCTTCTCTCCATAACCCTGATGGCTGTCCTGTCTGTGATGAGTGCCATGGTGCATCCCCCACAGAGGTTACCGGATTTATTCCCTTTAGCAGTGTCTGTTATTTCTTGCTTACATTTTATACTATTTTTGGTGTATTTTAATGTTGTTATTCTCTGGGACTCAAAGAACAGCAAAAGCCAGAAGAAACTCAGTTAATGAACCTGTGAAGATCAAGGACTAAACTGTGAAAGGACAGAATATTCTCCACGAGCAGTGTCTGGCATTGCAGGTAAACCTGCTTGTGCTGTAATACAATTCCTGTATCCTAATGAGAATCAGGAAACACATCATGCATATTGAAACACAGAGTGATCGAGGACTTTTAAAGGAAGGAATATTCTGAAGAGCGTTTGGAAATGTGACTTGGTGTTGTCTGCAGAAGTGTAATACTTTTTGTTACCATTTGTAAACTTAAACTCCTTAATAAAGGACCAAATTTTGAGTTAAGGCTGAAGTCCCCCGGCTGTATTAGCAAAGCAGCTTGATGCCATTGAGTTTACAGGTTTCCCAGCACAAAAAGCGTGAGCAAGTAGGTTAAGTATTGAGTAGAAACTCCTCACTGGTAGCTCTGAAGTTGTCTCACTGTATTGTTTTCTGTCATAAACTCTCTTCTTGTGTCAGTTTCTGTCGCACATCACTCTTTGCTGCCCAAGTGGGAGGCATGCTCTGCTCTTGGTTCTTCATCTGGTGCTGGAGGGGATGACATGTAGCCTCCAGCAGATGGGATCTAAAGCTCAGCCCCAGCACAGACCCAAGTGCTGTAGCCCATCAGCACAGCAATCCAATAGCAGCTTTGGTTCACCCACAGGCTTTTGGTATTCTTGTGTTACGTGTTCCTTTCCTCAGTACCAGCACTTCTGGAATGCTGAAGAATTGTCTAAGCCCCAGACACACACAAGCTAATGCTGGGTGCAGGGGTAGAGGTTGTGATGTTTGGGAAGGGGAAGGCTCTTGTGTGTGCAGCAGGGTGGAGGATGCATCTTCCTTCACTGTAGTCATCAGCTGTGATTTGGTTTTGACATGATTGTAGCCTTTTGACTCTCAACTGTTTCTAACAGGGCTGAAAGGCCAAAAGCTCTTGGTTCTACTGGAATAAAGCTGAGGATACCACACTGTGCTTTGAAAGTAGGTACTGGGTGCTTCAGGGATAAGAACCCCCAGTAAACCCCCCACGTATTGCATAGTAATTTGCAGGTGTAAATGGAGCTAAACTCTGCAATTTCTCCCTCTGCACAGCACAGCCTCTGCTGCAAATAACTGAGAGAATAAAATTGGATTGAATAATTATAAAGCACACAGAAACTAAATCATAAAGCCATTCCTGGTGGTATAGTTTAACTAGGAGCCAGTCTGTCCTTTTCCTTCACATACAAAAAGCAAACCCATTCTCATTTAAGGCTTCCCTGCGCGCTGTCACATTCCAGCCTGCTGCTGCCATTGGCAGCGTTATGGTGAGTGTGTGAATCAGCTGTTCTGGGAACTTCCACCTGTGTCAGCTCTGAATGCTCTAAGTGAAGTGTCTGCAAGCTCAGTGTGTTTGTTCTGCTTTCCCAGCTTTGCTTGTTGGCTGCAGTTACATTTTCCACAAGGTTATAGCCGTGGCAGCTCAGGGAGGACACAAAAGGTGCTCTGGGGTAGCAGTTGTGATGGTGGTGGGGGTGAGTAGAGGTTAGTGGTGGGCCTGCACTGTAACAGTTCACTGTAAAGCAACGCGACTTAAGTATTTCCACAAGTATGTAGAGCTTCTGTGAGGGTGTGACCCTGGTGGTGGCACACAAGAGCTCTGCCCACAGCGTGGCCTTTCCTTGGAGGAGCGTAGGCCCAGGGGCAGAGATGTGTATCAGGACGTGTAAATGGGGATCTTTGTCTCCAGAGTCTGTGAAAGCCAAAACCCACAGCGTTCCCTCCACGTGTGATGGGGTGAGGGACCACCAGCCCTTGAGGCGGCCTGGAGAACATCTCCTTCCACCCAGACAACATCTGAAATGGCAAATTCAGATGGAAGGAAGCAGAAGGGCTTCAGATTCTAATGGGCTTGGTCTCGTGTTCAACACGATGATGGTGAGATCCTTCCCCCCATATAAAAACATTAGTTTTGAGTGTATCTCTTTTCTTTGTCCTTGAGATGGCTTCAGGGGGTGATAAAGTGCGAGTCATATGATCCACCTTGTGTGGAACTGGAAATGGTTCTTAACAGCCCCAGCTGTTTCTGAAAGGCAGCAGCCTGGTACAGCAAAGGGGTCAAAGGAACAGTAAGTGCTCAACTAGCACAGGCATGTAATGAGGAGCATTTGCAGCAGAATCTCAGTATAGAGCTTTCTGCTTCCCTAAAACATTATTAAACACCAAATTTCATGATATTTAGTAATTGCCATGGTGTGAGGAACCACTAACTCATGTTAGCCATCACCTTTGTTGTTATTGTTATGCATGTTGTCTTTGTTCTTTGATTTAGATGAGTGTGTGGTTGGTTTCCAAATGCTTTTTAGATCAAAACTATTCCCAGCTACAAACGTTACAGTCAGGTTATATAAATGAGATATATGTAAGCTATAGTGGTTTGGGTTCACCTTCCACTCCCCCATAAAGCCGTCAGCTGGGGCATCCTGTGGGTACAACCACCACCAAACAGCGCAGGAAGCTGACGGCAGAAGGGAGTAGGAGCTAAAGGGAGTAACTGACACAGTTCCCTTCCAACAGTCACTAACAGCTTTTCCACTTGGATTGCACAGGTATTATGTAAACATTTTAAAGGCTGGAGCAGACGATCCTTGAGGTCCCTTCCACCCTGGTACTCTATGATCTTTATTAACTAAAACTGCCCAAAGCTCAAGTGTGGATGTGTTTGACCACACTACAACACAGCATTTTGGTCCTTGGTGTCTTAGTTGTAAAAATCAGTTCTTTGCAGTGGTAGAAAGGGTTATTCATATTTACATTGAACTATCTGGAAGAGTAGCAAAAAATGGAATATAAAATAAAGAAAAATCATCCTACTCTTTCAATATGAGATAGGCTGCACCTAACACAGTGATTTGAGGTGCAGGGGCTGCAATAGGCTGGTGGGGTGTTTTTGAGGATAGTGGTTTGTAACAACTCTCCCCATACGTCATTAAATGCCAAAACCAAGGTAAAATCTTAACATAAAAAATGAATGGTATTAGAGCCATGTGTTTGAACACTGGGGGCTTGAAGGTGACAGCATTATATTGTGTCTCGAGTTGATGTTCTCCACTATGAGGGAGAGGCGCTGGCACAGGGTGCCCAGAGAAGCTGTGGCTGCCCCATCCCTGGCAGTGCTCAAGGGCAGGTTGGACACAGGGGCTTGGAGCAAGCTGCTCCAGTGGAAGGGGTCCCTGCCTGTGACAGGGCTTGGAGCTGGATGAGCTTTAAGGTCCCTTCCAACACAAACCATTCTATGCTGTTAGAGGAGATAGGACAGTGGATGACATCTCTAACTGTGGCAGCCACAGACAGGGAAGTTGTTTGCCAACAACTTCAGTGTGGTCAGCACTTGGAATAATTTCTTGCACACTAGAACTTCCTTCTAGTTTTGATCCAAATCCTCATTAGCAGAGGCCATACATTTCCAGACAGGCTGTTATAAAGCTGGATGCATTTATTTCAGTCAGTTAACTGGCTTTTGGGGGGCTGGTGGCGTGATGACAGGAGCAGGGGCAGGAAGCAGCCATTTCCCACACAAGGTCTGGGATGCAAAGGTCATCTCTGAGCAGTTTCTTCTTGCTTGGTTCTTATAGGGAGAGTTAGAGGTGGGGGATTGGTTTATTTGCTGTAAAACCAAGGCAGCATAAATCTCCATTTGCCATAAAAACATACATTTTCCATGCAGCAGCCAAGCTAAATGAGCATTTTGCACTCCTCCTTGCATAAACCAACCAGGATGTATTATTTACATTGGGATCATCTGGTTGTGCACATTGTTCAGTTTAAATAGATGCCAGAAATTGTATCTAGATGTGCACCTGCCCATCACAAGGAGCAATCCCAAACTGGTATTTGCTGGGGAGATTGGTTTACACTCATTTCTTCTCTCCTTTTAAGTACAGCCACACAGATGTAGAACTTTGGGTTGCTGTGGAATGCATTTTTCACATAATGCCTGTGTGAAGAGGAGGAATGACTAAAATAAATAGCAATTAGGCAGCAGCAGCATCATTCATGTGATCTGCTCGGCATTGCATGGCTGTCCTGCGGCCAGAACTAGCCTCGCTGGGTAAGAAAGGACCGACAGCCCCACAGACAGCCCAAGGCAAAGCAGAGCAACAGATGGTCACTGCAGCCACATTTCAGATGTTGTAAGGAACCGCTGTCAGTTTATCTGGAGAAGAAGTTGAGAAGCAATTGCTGAAAGATCATTTAACTGCCACAACCGAATTCCTGTAAAGAACAAGAAAACAAAGGGCTTTATAGTGATGGTTCACTTACGAAAGGGGTAGAGAGAACCAGGAAGAGTAAATGTGTCTCTTTTTTGACCATAGGGTCCAGAATCAATATTCACTGACTAAACACTAGTTCTGGACATAAACTTATAGCGAGGATGAGTGCTTTCTGATCTAACTTCGACTTGGAAACCTTGTAGTTGTCAGCATGAGTTTACTTCAGGCTGTTAAGCCAGTGTAAGGCTAAAAGTGATTATTGTACCATAGAAAGGTCATTCTGTGGTCTTTGGGACTCTGAAATTCTGCTGAATGGAAAATGAGCTGCTAAACAGGCCACTAGTGCTGCTTGCCTGCAGGGCTTCCCACCCCTCTGTTACTCTGGTGTGGTAGCTGGTTTGGAAGGAGTAAAGAGAATGCATCTCTGGCATAAGCAGCTGGGAAGTATAAGGGTGGCATTAGCCTGGGGACACAGGGGTGTTTAAAGCTTTTTTGCTACTAGGTTACTTGTGATTGTAAGATAAAAGGGCTAAAGCATTTGAGAAGCAAAATGCATGTGTCTGAGCTCAGCCCTGCACTCACTCAGTTACATACCTTGTAGATGTACTGTCTCATATTCCTCAATTACAGGAACTGGAATACTTTAACTTTCCAGAGGAAAGATGTTCTCACACCACATGAGCAACTGATACAATCTGCAGATAATCTTTAACATCCCTTCCAACCCAAACCATTCTATAACTCTCTTACATTCTCATCTTTCAAGACTTCTTTGTCAGGACTTTATGAAACAGATAGGACAGCAGTGACCCCAACGTGCCTGAGTTGCATGAGCAGAGATGGATGGAATAGGGGTGGGAAATGCTCCTGAGGAAGTGGGGGGCTGGAAGTGGCAACCAGGGCATCACCATGGCATTTAAGAAGGGATAATCTCAAGTACACAAATTTTCTTGCTATTGTTACATGTATTACAGCTGAATTGCCATTCTTGAAAAGAGCCATGCAGTTAGAAACTGACAGTCTTGACAAGGGGAAATGATACTGGATGGTTTAGCATAGGACAGAGTTTCTACAGGCTGAGTACCTCATTTTGCTTAACAAACCAGAAACAGGAAATACCACATGCAGAGTAACAACTGTTTCCCCCCCAAGCTCTTCCAGTCCTCACTGCAGGCCTATACTTCGGGGCACCCTGTGAGTGTTGTAACATTTTACAGTACCTCAGCCCTTCCGATAACCTGGCCTGTACATGGTGGCTGGAGAAGGCACAGGGTGGATTGAGGAGCTACTCACCTCAGTCAAGGAGAGACTTCAGGAACACGGAGCTACGGGTGGTCTGAACGCATCCTATGGAGAAGGAAAATCAGTTTTGATAAATCATGGAATGGTTTGGGTCAGAAGGGACCTTAAAGCTCCTCCAGCTCCAACCCCTGCCACGGGCAGGGACCCCTTCCACTGGAGCAGCTTGCTCCAAGCCCCTGTGTCCAACCTGGCCTTGAGCACTGCCAGGGATGGGGCAGCCACAGCTTCTCTGGGCACCCTGTGCCAGCGCCTCAGCACCCCCTTCTTCCTAAAGTCTGATCTAAATCTATCCTCTGTCAGTTTAAAACCACCCCCCTTGTCCTATCACTACATGACCAGGAAACAGACCAAAAATATAAAAACTAAACGTGATAATAGTGTTATTATACAGGTTGTGAAAATCCCCCCACAAATACAAGTTAACAAAGTTACTGCAGTGTTCAACAGAACCCCTTTCACTTCATATGGTTACGGTGTCCCACAGTAATTTAGGAGGTTGTCTTAATTACTTGTATGTGCACCCAGGCTACATGACCACCAATGATGACAAAGCAGAACAGGATGTGTTACGAGTATTAGGAGGTGCTCCTCCTTTTTGCTATGAATAATAAAAGAATAAGTCTGTAAGGATATGAGCAGATTCAGTCAAGGACCATGTGAGGAACAACCATCTCCTGTGTCCTCAGAGGGGACAGCAAAACAAGGGAACAGCACCTGGGTCCTATGCTCAGCGAGGGCAGGGCCAGGGTGAAGGGCTGAGCAGATGGCTGGAAGCAGTAGAGGAAAAGTGTGCAAGGGCAGAAAGGAATTCAGGGAACGAGAACACAGGGAAAGGCTCTGGGAGCAGGTGCGCCCGAGAGCCAAGATCTCCCCCACACGGATTACTGCAGCAGAGGATCAGCTCTGCTCCCTGTACCCTGAGTGCCTGCTGATGGGTCACACTGCACTTGGATTCCACCAGCACCAAAGGGTGAAAAGAGACTTCAGAATTACTGGTTTTATATTAAACATACCTACAAACAGACATTTACAGTGGTTTAGAGCTAAAAAGATGACTACTGTGAGGAAAGGGGCTGCATGTAAACTTAGAGGGAGAGAGGCACCAAAGCCATAGGGTCAGTGGGAAGGCTCTCAGTTCTCCTCGTCTAGCAGGCAGTGACTCCTCAGGTGTCACATACAGGATGTGGCACAGACCTGCCTGTGGATCTGACAGGAGCTGGAGTTGACCAAGCCAGAAATCCTGCTCTATGCTGGGCCTGGAGAAGTTACTCCAGATAAAGGCATCCCATTCAACTTAGCCTCAGGCACAGCTCCCCAGCATCACACCTAATAAACACCATTTGTTCACACAGATACCACTACTGCTTACAATAGGAAACTGTCCAGTAACACAAAGAGACATTTAATTACAAGGTGGTACAAATACCGAATGCAAGTCCCTAACTGAATCTTTACAGACCTGGTTTGCACTGATTGCACCATTCAGACTATGCTGTACTTACAGAACCTGTGACCATGCCAAGGTCTGCATCTCACTCCAAGAAACCCTCTTAAAAATGTAAGCTGCCCAAATTCGTATCAAACACCATTAACTTGTCCCTCTTTCCACACATAAACCACGACAACACCTTGTGACCAAAGCCTTAGTTATATAATATATGTCATTGAGATTTAGCTATTCAAGGAATCAGAGAGATATTACGATTTACTACTCACGTGCTCCAGTCACTTACAGTGCTTGTTCTAGCAGTTTCAGGGTTTTATATATACATATATATATATATTTGGGGGGGGGGTGGTGGTGTGAAGCTAGTGAGTTGGTTTTAACTCCAACAGAACAGACATCCCCTAGAAACAACCCTTCTCTCTCTTGGTATTTTATATATGTGACATGGTTTGGTGGTGGCCTTGGCAGTGCTGGGGAATGGTTGGACTTGATCTTCAAGGTCTTTTCCAACCTAGTTGATTCTATGTAGACTCCTAAGGAAGTTAAACTACATAGGATATTAGAATGGTTTGTGTTGGAAAGGGCCTTAAGATCATCTCGTTCCAACACCAGAAAATCCCAAAGATAACATTAGCAAAACTTAGTATGAAAACCTCTTGTGCCCAGGGCATTGAGGAAGGGCAGTCTGTGCAGGTGAGCAGAAGGACACTGGCTCAAGCACTAAGTGGATGCTGGCCCAGTTCATGCTCCTTCATCAGCTCAAGCACTTTGGGGGTGCGGATGGCAGGGCAGGAACCTCAGCCCTGCCCCTTGGCATGGTGTGTCCTGTCCCTGGCCCACAAAAGCATTAGAATCATAGAATAGTTAGAGTTGGAAAGGACCTTAAGATCATCCAGTTCCAACTCCCTTGCCGTGGGCAGGAACACCTCACACTAAACCAGGTCACCCAAGGCTCTGTCCAACCTGGCCTTAGAAGGGCAGAATCTTCCCAAGTTTCTTTCCCCTGCTGTTCCCAGCGCCGTTCTTCCCCAAGTTTGACTGCTCTAAAACATTTACAGATCTGAAAAGCAGAGAGGAAAAAAATGTTCACCTGTCAGGTGATATAAAACCAATCTTCTCCTAAATGTGCCAGAATAATTTTTCTCCACCTCAACCACACTTAAAACCTTCAGTCTATTCATTACTGTCGTTTTATAGTATTTTTATTTAATAAAACCTATTAAGACTACCATACAAATCTCTTTACTTATGCTTTTATCTTTTAACTGATCAATTTTTATATTGCTGACATCCCTTCTTCACCATTTGCTCATTTAAAAATTCATAGTATATGAGCTATGTCTCGGGAGAAAACGTCTATAAAATTTGTTACAGCTGGCAAATGTGTATGAGTCAGGGGGAGCACATGACTAAATGCTTCAGAGCAAATAAAATTTGTTTCTGTAGTAAGCAGAACTGTTTAAATGTTATTTATTTTTATGTTTCAAAGAAAATATATTGTGAAGTGCTGCATTGATTTAATACGCACCAATGTCTGTGTACACGCTGTACGAGGGGAATTTATGAAACCTTTGCACAACTCCTTTAATTGAATTTTCCAAATCTCTCACCACACACAAATAATCAATATCTTCTGCAGAGAAAACCAGTCAGAATTATTACAGTCTTTCTTTTCCATTTTGTTGTCATCAGCACATACGGAGCACCTGGATATTTGTAATGTCTGGGTAGCGAGTTATTTACACCTCTTAAACATATAATTGCTACTAAGTGAGCCCAAACTAATGTTTCTTTTCTATTTTAAATAATTACATTCATGGGAGAAAGCAGTATTTATTCTCACGGAGGAGCTGCTACATGGAGCTGTTGAAAGAACTACAGTCCCTTTTAATTTTTCATTAAGCTTAATACTCACACTCTAAATCCACTAGAATTAAAAATTAACAGTTATTGTGTCCATAAAAAGGTACGTAGGAAAACGTAAAGGAAAACACAAGTGTGGCATTCATGAATAAATGGGGCTGACACCCAAATACAAAATGCAGGTTGACAGTTCTCTATGTACATACATACGTCTGAGGCCTATAGTCATATCTCTCATGTGCATTTCTGTATCTGCCACAGAAGTTAATAGCTTAATATTTCATCTACATAGCAGAGGATGTTAAATCACTGGAGAGGTTTGTAATTTGCCCCCTTCCCTCCATCCAAAGAGCTCATCATGCCAATGACCTCAGGGCCAGGTACTTCTCCAATCTCAGGTTGTATTTTAAAATACAAGCTGTGGGTACGATCTGACAGACCCACATCTGTTTGTTTGAGGTCAGACAGAAACCTGTCCACCAGCTCCTTCACCTCTTGGTAAATGAGGTTACTCACTTGTCGTAGGAAAACCACCAGCATTGCAGATTCTGGACACCAGAATGCGCTTTTGTTACCTCTTCTAGACTGTAAAGGACTTTGCATGGTTACAAACTAGCCCTGCTTGCACAGAATGAGAGATGTACAGTCAGATTTAGCCTGAGGAACGACAGCTTTTAGCCCACACAATACGAATTAGAACATGACAGCACAACACACTCCTCCTCTGGGTGCTCTTGGGGCAATCTCACAGTTAGTTTTGATTGCAAATGCAGGAGGGCAGAATGGTTTCTCTGGGTCTCTGCATGGGGACATTCAAAGGTGCACCAAGTCCATGCGTGCACACACACACACTCAGCATACTCTTAATTCAGTTTTGCTGAATGCAGTCCCATTTACAAGTGTTCACACTGAGGTATAACTTAAAAATGTAACTGTCATTATTTTTTTTCCCATGTCTAATGGCAGAAAAGCCTTATGAGCAGAAATACAGACACATCTTCCACCCAGGAGAGCAGGTGAACAAGGCCAGATTCCCTCCAGCATCACATAAACCAAGTTATGATTTCTTGAAGCAGTCTTACTGATGGCATAATGCAATTTCTGCCTCACTTCAACAGCCTCTCTGGTGAGGCCAAGGGGGCAGCTCGTATCTTGGTGGGATGCAGGACTCAAGTGAAAGAGTACTGATGACCCCATTTCTCTTCCAAACGCTGTGTAGGGACATTAACTCCAAGCAGATGTTTCTGATGTGGGACAAAACATCAAACTTGACCTTTAGCATTAAGAATTGAAGTAAACCTATAATTTGAAAACACAAGCTCTAAATCTCCATCTAATAATCTGTTTGGGGAAAAAAGAAGTCCTTCAGCATCATCTTTGTTGCTTTTAGAGATGATGTACACCACAAAGAAAGCTGCTGGAGAGACCTTGTCAAACTTGCTGGAAAGAAGCCTAGGATTTAACTGCAAGGACCTTGGTAGAAAGAAGGAACTGTTGTGTCAGCATTAGCAGCTTTTCCCAAACAGATTAAAAACGTGGAAGAACTGAACCTCAGATGAAACTCTATCACAGATGCCTGGAAGTGAGGCTTGCATAAACAAGAGCATGTGGTTCATCCTTAGTCAGTTCAGGTACTGGTTCTTAAGAAAGGGGGCTACAGATCTGTTTGGTAAAGAGGCCTTTCCCAAACCCTAGGTCTGACCTCAGTATCCATCTCATCACTTCCCTAAAAAGTGATTTGCCGTAAGCAAAGACAATCCTGATACTTGTTCTATTTGATCTCAAGGAATGGAAACTCTGGAAAGAAACTCAGTTTCTGAATACATTTACGTGTGAATTCATTCAGTTCACTTCATATATTTCTGCTTAGCCAGTTCACAAGACCAGAAAGGGCACAATGACATTCCTTCCCTGCAAGGAAATACAACGTTGGGCTGAGAAACAGCCAGAAAACTCCACAGATATGTTCCTGAAAATGTACATCTGAGGTCTAATGTATTCCCCTTTTCCACAGAAGATCCCAAAGGAGGATAAGGATGGATGGGTGGGAGACAGACACCTGAGTATATGGAAAGGTCAGCAAATCTATTCTACTTGGTTTGAGAATGATGTAGAAATACGTTGTAAACTTGATTTACCTTCACTGACAGCAAGCCACCAGCAGTCCAGGCCCAAGCTATTCAGTTGCTTGTACACAAGCATCCAATGCAAAGTCCAAACTCAAACTGACAGGAATAGGGATAAATAGTGGAATATTGCAATAAAATTCTTACTATTTTATCTGTTTTGAGAAGGAACTCTGCTTATTACGGAGAAGTCCATATTTTACAGTGTTTCTGAAATGGGAGTTAATGTTTTGCCATATATACACAGTTTGGACTGGTGAGTGGGAACTCAGTATTACTTAGTCCCTGATCTCTCCAGTTTGGCTTTCATCAAGAATTTCAAGTGGCATTCAATGGAAATCCATCAAGTTAACCCTGATCTAGTCTCTTGGAAAGCCACCACTATTGCTGCAAGGGGTGCAAGCTTCAGTCACTCGTATTAAAAACAACATGAAAGTTAGAAATGTTTAGAACTAACCTTAATAGGGGTGAACCTATCAGCCCCTGGGCTTGGCAGGATGAACAACATGAAAAGAAAGTATTTATTATTTCATTACAAGACATAGCCTGAAAGTAGTTTTCCTTGACACTGCAACTATTTGATCTCCTGTAACACTCTCTTGTTGTTCTTTACTTGGACAGCAGACAGAGGCATGGACATGATTAATGTCAGTGTTTCTGGGAAGCAAAGCATTAGTATGATTTTTAAGAACCAGCTTTCCTGTTTAGAATGTTATTTTGACTCCTTGAGATTCTGAACCTATTAAATTTTCCTTTAAAATATGCATATCACAACCTACACATTTCTTCTCAAGAGGCACAAAGCATGGTTTGGACTGTGACATACCAACCAGATTTCATCTCTTGGCAGTTGCTTTGCAGTTTGCTTACATTCTATTCAAAAACATTTTGTTTACTGTAAATGCTAGTCATGGACAGACAAAGATGCCATTTGTTATGCTGGCCACACAAAATGATATATTGAGTTCTATATAATGGTGCCCATTGAGCAAGGAATGTTTTGTATTAAGTTGTTTTAAGTAGAGGTTGTTTTATGTAAAGTAAATAAATTTCATGCCTCACCATGTGATGATAATGTGACATTCCATCTGTATCAAGCCACTGAACAGTCATAAGTTTTAAGTCTTAAGCATAACTAATTAAAAATAATTATGGAAAACCACATCCAAAACTAAAAGGCAAAGTAAAACATCTCCAAGTGCTCTTCTTGTATTACACACTTCTCTGCCTCTCCTACTATTGCATCTGCAAGACGGCAAAAGCAAATTTATGCATTACTAAAGCAAAATTGACATTGAAACTTCATCAAAATTGGTCAACTTAAACTTGTAATTCTATTTTCCAGCCCAGTTTCAGAAAATATCTCATTTCTCATCTAACAAGACTGGAAGCATGTTTAGTGCTGGGAGCAAAGATAGAACTATAAATGTATACCCTGGTGGCCATTCAAAAGCACTGCACAAAGCAAGCAATGACTGTTTACATCTGCAATGGCTCACAGCATCCACCATTATAATTTTTTTGTAATCTGGAGCTGAGGATAATTCATTTTGATCAGTTTTCTTTACCTTAAGAGAATTCCCCAGAGAAGAATGAATTTAGGCACATGGAAGAGCAGATACAACCAAAATTGAAGGCGCTGCTTGTGACATAGAATCAAAGAATCATAGAATAGTTAGGGTTGGAAAGGACCTGAAGATCATCCAGTTCCAACCCCCCTGCCATGGGCAGGGATGCCACACACCAAACCGTGTCACCCAAGGCTTCATCCAACCTGGCCTTGAACACTGCCAGAGATGGAGCATACACAGCCTCCCTGGGCAACCCATTCCAGTGCCTCACCACCCTTACAGGAAAGAACTTCTTCCTCATATCCAATCTAAACTTCCCCTGTTTCAGTTTGAACCCGTTACCCCTTGTCCTGTCACTGAAGTTCCTAATGAAGAGTCCCCCTCCAGCATCATTGCAGCACCCTTCAGATACTGGAAGGCTGCTCTGAGGTCTCCACGCAGCCTTCTCTTCTCCAGGCTGAACAGCCCCAACTTTCTCAGCCTATCTTCATACAGGAGGTGCTCCAGTCCCCTGATCATCCTCGTGGCCTCCTCTGGACTTGTTCCAACAGCTCCATGTCCTTTTTATGTTGAGGACACCAGAACTGCGCACAATGCTCCGAGTGAGGTCTCATGAGAGCAGAGTAAAGGGGCAGGATCACCTCCTTCGCCCTGCTGGTCACACTTCTTTTGATGCAGCCCAGGATACGGTTGGTTTCTGGGCTGCAAGCGCACACTGAAGCCGGCTCATGTTCATTTTCTCATCGACCAGCACCCCCAAGTCCTTCTCTGCAGGGCTGCTCTGAATCTCTTCTCTGCCCAGCCTGTAGCTGTGCCTGGGATTGCTCCGACCCAGCTGTAGGACCTTGCACTTGGCATGGTTAAACTTCATGAGGTTGGCATCAGCCCACCTCACAAGCGTGTCAAGGTCCCTCTGGATGGCATCCCTTCCCTCCAGCATATCAACCGAACCACATAACTTAGTGTCATCAGCAAAACAGTGCTGTTGGTTGGGGCAGCTGGCAAATAGAGCAGCAGAGATGCCATCAATTATTTTAGTTCTGGTTTTGCTCTATGTGAAGATACATGAAGATAACAGAAATATCAGAATATCAGTGGTGACTGTTGATTTTACTGGGAAACATAAATCCCCCCACCACATTCCCTGCTAGAGAAGGCACTATAGTGACTACATGAGCCACCAACTTCAAATGTTTTCACAGCACTAGTTACGAAGAAACCCAACAGTTAGGATTTCACAGTCTCGTGAAGCATGCTAAATAGCTCACAATACATATAAGGTGAAAAAGATTCTGCTGCAAAGGCTGTTTGCTATCTGGCTTGTACACTAAAAATGCAAAAGAAGGAAGGAGAATGAAGAATAACAAGGGTAACTGTTATATATGAAAGATATGTAAGCTCTCTAGGATCTGACTGCACGTATTTCTAGACCATGCCTCAAGTGTAACACCATTAATGATTTCTTCTCCTTGCAGTTTCATAGAGAGTACCCAATCCAAAGAAAATTGCAGAAAAGATGAAATTTACATTTGAGTAATTCCAAAGTTTTCTGAGGAAACACATTTGATGATCATCATTTTCACATATGAAAGGTTACCCAACTGCAAGAGGAAAGAACTAATCACCTAACAGGAATCACCAAAACCTCTGTTGCATAGGAGTTATTAATTTTCTTACTTTGGGCAAGAAGTTTTCCATGGTCTCTTTTCAGCAGCTGCAGTTCTTCTGCTTGACTCACTAGTGAAGAAACAAATCTGCAATCAGTAAACAATGCCTCAGAGATTTCAAAGAAAATATCTATGCTGCCTTTTTCACATTTTCAAAACACTCCAGAAATCTGGAGAGCAGCTTTGGGCAAGCTCCTGTAGGGACAGGCCAAGGGGAATGGCTTGAACCTGCCAGAGGGGTGACTGAGATGAGCTCTTAGGCAGAAGCTCTTCCCTGTGAGGGTGCTGAGGCGCTGGCACAGGGTGCCCAGAGAAGCTGTGGCTGCCCCATCCCTGGCAGTGCTCAAGGCCAGGTTGGACACAGGGGCTTGGAGCAAGCTGCTCCAGTGGAAGGGGTCCCTGCCCGTGGCAGGGGTTGGAGCTGGGTGAGCTTTAAAGTCCCTTCCAACCCAAACCAGGCTGGGATTCTGATTTGGATTTTTTTTCAGATGATGATTAAAAAAAACCACCCCAGTGTAACTGTACTAAAAAATTTAACAAAACCATTTCAAAATCCACATCATTTTGAGGAGTTGTGCTTACAAGCCCCATCCATGCATTCTGTTCCCGTTTCTGTCTTCTAGCACTGACACAATGCATTGTTCCTAATTCAGAGGTGGGAGGAAAAGATGATTCTTTCGCATTTGGAAGGCAATAAGAAGCTAACAGCAAGTGTCAACACCAGGCCTGGCAGCTCATTTGGGAAGTCACTGCCCTATCCCTGGTGTAGGGTAGTAATGTAAACATAGACTATATTCAGAAAACTTCACTTTGTATAAGAAAGCATCTGGTTAAGCGCATTACAGTGGCAACAGTACAGTGTATACACATGCAAAATGCAAACGGAATGAGCATGGGAATAGGAGTCAGGAAAGAAATGGTAATTTAAACAACAGTAGTTGCTGGAATTGTGTGGTGCATAAATTCCACTGTTGGGGTCCATTCAGCTAATGAATTGGAAGGGTTACAGGGCTCTTTGCTAAGAGAAATTCTCTAGCACTTGGGCCTTTATTATCCACCTCTTTCCAGCTGCAAACAAAGTAGCAGTCGAAGTCACTCCAGGTTTTGATTTCCTATAGGTAGTTCAGTGTTTTAACACTCTGCAGGCAACAAAGCAACCAGAGATGTTGTAGAATAATGTAAACCAACAAAACATCCTGTTTGCTGCAGGTTAAGAAACTGTTTCCTCATCTCTGCATGCTTGTCCAGAGCCTGGAGACAGGGAATACATGTATAGTTATGTTATTCATGCTCCCTGTTCAGCTGGAAACTAGATAATCAGAAGTTGGTATGAAAAGTCTACAAGAACAGTATTACATACACAGACTTTTGAGAAGTAGTGATAGGTGAATGCAGTCTTAGAGACACACCTGTCCCACAAACATGTAGTGGGAACAGATGAAAGGTGTTGCTATTGTGAAAACAAACGAACAACCTCTGCTGAGGCATAAACTGCCCAGAGAAGCTGTGGCTGCCCCATCCCTGGCAGTGTTCAAGGCCAGGTTGGACACAGGGGCTTGGAGCAAGCTGCTCCAGTGGAAGGGGTCCCTGCCTGTGGCAGGGGTTGGAGCTGGATGAGCTTTAAGGTCCCTTCCAACTGAAACCATTCTAGGATTCTATGATAAATACCGGAGCTCCTTGGGTGTCTATGGCTACATTTCACCACTTTTAAAGGAATTACCTGGTAAGGGAGATCTTTAATTTTTCTCCCTGAAAAACAATATCTATTTTTTCCTGCAATTATCCATAATGCAAGGTTTTGCCATTGGAATATTTCCCTATCGCATATTTCACATGTAGCTGTAGAAGCAGGTGGGAAGAGAAGCATGAATGCACTTTTTGCTGCTGAGGATTACATGTCCCAGGAACCTCTGACTTGGAGTAAGGATAAAGAGTTTCCTAAACATGGACACATATAAATGAAAATCTTTGCTTTCTCTGGGTTCCTTTGGAAAAGTAATACAGATGTGCCATCTGTAAAGTGCCTTTATCCCAACACAATAAGCATCTGCTATGTCCATCATTTAAAGACACATGAATAACAATTTTTAAAGCCTGGAAACCTATATTCAGCATAATCCTCCTAACAGGCAAACAAACAAAACAACTTCCTTGCAGAAGGAGTAGAAAGGCAATGCAATCAAAGTGCAAACGTTTAGCCTAATCACAAGCTAACTACCCACTAAGTATCTAACTATTTACATTAGAAAAGGTGTTGCTCTTGCAAGTTTTCCCTCCTCATCTGTGACTGGGAGTTAGAAGAGTGGGATGCTGGGGTTGCCTTTCTTTTACATCCCTGGTTGTATGCACAAGGAAGTGCTTTTGTCCCAGCTAAAAGACTCAGGGCAGAGGCTTGGGGTATAACACTCCATTATAACACAGAGTGGGGTATGACTCTAGGAGAGATCCCAGATAAACTGTTATAAAGGGGATAAACGTTCTTGAACATCCTCCTTACTTAGCTCTTGGGTTTTCTGCACTTCATCCCTCAAGTCGCAAGCCGAGGCTGAGACACCAACATTTTCAAGCTCTCTACTGCCCTCTAAAGCCTGGAAAGAAATAACCAAAGGCATTGTTAAATCTCAATCCCAGTGTGTCTCTTTAGAGGCCTACAATATTAAAAACTTCGGAAAGAAGGAACTTTTGGATTATTTTCGTAAGATCTAAGTGATGCTCAAGGCTCCACCTCACAGAGAGTTAAGGGGACTTAAATTTTAAGGACATAGGAACAAACCCTGCTTCTGAAAATGGCATTCAGGTGCCTTGGAAAGTGTTGCTTAAAAATCTCCTGTTATTTACGCTTCATCCGTAAGTCTTCAGCTGTCTAAACAGATTAGCACTTGATCCCCAGAAAAGCAATCTTGGCACATGGACAAGCTATAATATGTCAGTAAAATGGAAATCTACAGGCATTTAAGATACTTGAACACACTCCTCAGCACTGTGGAAGGCGTAAGAACATACAACTATGTTTTCATAAGAAAGGGTTTTTTAATAGTTTTCCAAATAAACTTTTAAATTCAAATATTTTAAATTATAACCAAGCTTTTTTTTTGTAAGTAAAACACTCTCAGGCCATGTATGCGAGTAAAATAAATCAATACAGTGCTTTGAATACACTGAATAATTTCACAGATAACAATATACAGCAATGAACCGTGTCCTAAATTTATTCAGGAAACAAAATGTGAGTAAAGCAGGAAAGTGATTTGCATTTTAGCATTCATTAAACAGAGTACTCCACGATGATGCATTAGTGGTAAATTAAATAGTACAATCACTTCAACACAAAGGGATATTTAATCTTCATGGACAAAAATCTATGCAGTAATAAGTCATATTTCTAACTTCAAGTTAGAAATAACAGTTGATAACTGCTTTATATGCTTTTATTCATGGACAAAATAAGCAGTGATAAAAATGGTGCACTTGGAAAAGTATTTCTAATAGTTAAAAAAAAAAATCTACTAAATTCTGGGTTGTTTTTTTTTTTTTGCACTTTCTAGATTTCCAAGTCAAACTTCCCAGCTTTAAAGTATTTTGTTTGCTTCCTTATTCATTAAAACTCAAACGTTGCTCATAGGATTTTCATTTTTATTTCAAATCCTATATTAAAAGTAGATTCAAGAAGTACATCAGTGTAAAGCAGACCTGGAGGCTTGTCAGATTTTCTCTTATTTTCAGGATTCTGTCCAGTGAACTTTTCACTTCGCACTGCAACTCCATGAACCTGCATCAAAAGGTAAAATCGAACCATTTCCATTAGTCACATCCCCATTTGCTGCTGAAAATCAGTGTTTACAATGTTGTCTTGAGTTTCTTCACATTGTAATGAGGATGGATGTAGATAAGCTGTGAACAGATGGGCTGTACAACCTGACTGTGTCATAGAACACCAAATATAACTTGCCTTTGTGTAGGATTTATATGCAGACTGCCAAATACATATGTAATTTTAAGGACAGAAGCTCAAGTTCAGCAGTATTAGAGGATTTTCTGAGGATTGTGCCGGAAGACAATGGTAAAAGAAGGAATTTAACCCATTTGTTCCTAAGAAAAATGAGTTCAGTGAAGAGGATGAGCTCCCCAAAGCCATGGTTAATGCCATGCAACACTGCCTGTAGCTGGAGGAGACACAAGAAGTTAAAACTGAGCCCAACAGGGACAACATTCCCCATTTCCTGGGGTAATGGTTGGACTTGATGGGCTTAAAGGTCTTTTCCAACCTAGTTGATTCTACGACTCTAACACTGCATGATGTAATTTGTTCAGCTTTGTCCTACTGCCTCCACTTCTAAGCTACAAATATTTTACTACCAGTATGAAGATGGTCAGCTTCCAGAGTTTAATGGGCTTTGCAATAAAAATTCAAGTAATATACAATCAGATTAGAACTAAATGGCAGACTTTAACATATGCTTAAGGATCTGCAGTGAATATATACTGAAGTAATTTCTGCAATGAATGTTTAGGCTTATTTTCTCTTTCAACCATTTAAATATGTAAAGCAAATGGAGACAACAGAGAAATTACCTATTTGCTGCTTCCTCCTACAGAAGAAAGAATCACCCTTATAAGAAACCTCAAATTTAGAAACAGAACTACAGTATGATGTATATGTGAGTATAGTATGAGAAAAACTTCTCACTGCTGCATCTCAACATGGAAACAGAATGCTATGCACAAAAGAAAATGCTAATGTCAGTGCATTGTACAGTATATTTTCCACCTGTAAACTTAAAATGTATGGAAGTTCACATAAATATTACGGTGTTTATAAATGTGTTTTACTGACACATCCTTCTGTAACTCTTGCAGTTTCTAAAAACATACTGAGTTACTGAATGCAAACATTTACATGTCAATGAAGACTATGATTACTCAAATTGTTCTGCAATTCAAGGATACTATCAGTAAGAAATGAGTCTGGATGTGTTGACCAAGGGATTTACTGAACCACAAAACCCCCCAGTTAATCAGTTTACAGCTTTCCGCTGTTATAACTGTAAGATTTTAGTTTTTACTATCTAACATGCCATCCAGGACAATCACATTACACAGAATGATAAAGAAATAAGTTATAGTGTAGGAGAGAGGAGATGTGGTATAGCCATGTCAATGCTGAGCTGGGAACTAAACTTCCTGGGATAGATGTCAAAGATATATGTCAAGATGCCACCAGAGGACAAGTTGAAGCATCAAATAAAAAAGCAGGACAACACAACAGGATAAGAAGAACTCAAGAACAAAAATGTAGACTGTTGGAGAATGAGAATAAAGAATTTTTAAACCAATTTTCCTAAGAAAAGATCACCTAGGTCTCGTGAATGCAATTCCAGTTGAGTAAAAAGGATGGAAATGGATGGGGGACTACCTGGCATAAAACTGTATTAGCAGCAAGAAGTATGATTGTGCTCACTGAGGGAAGAAACTTGCAGATTTTTACCTGGTCTAAAGCTTAAACTCAAAGTAGTTTTACTGAGTATTTACAACTTGTGCATTAAGAAACTTCATAACTTACAGGATTTCTGAATGGCAAAGAGGAAAGACATCCCTGATACAATTCAACTTACAGAGAGCCAATTTTCCACTTTTCCACCAACACAAAACAAGTATTTCCTTTATCTAGCTCTTACGAATGGATGTGTTTGTTTTGGCTGAAATGCATAAAACATTTAGCCTGACACTTTGCTGTTGGTGCAGAAAAGTTCAGTTCACTTTTCAGCTGAGATTTGGAAATGTTAAAAACAATTACATATGTTTTGCATAACAGAAAAGATGAAGCAATGCTAACAATAGCCTTACTTCTAATAACACAATTTATCACTTCTCCCTCCTCATATCTAGCATGTTTAGGAAAACAGTTTATTAGATACTTCTCCTGAAACACTTATTTAAGTGCTTTACTACCTGCGGACTGTCCAAACCCCATTAATGTCAAGAAACTTATAGCTTAAAATAAGACTGTGGTAGAAAAGACAAGAATTTTAAAAGATTCTGCAAAGCAAACATGAAGTTTCACCATGAGCACCTGTGGCTAGTTTTTAATCAAAGTGTCCTGCATTCCTGGCCCTTTAACTTTGACAGGTAATGCTTCCAAAATTAAGGTGAAGGAGTGTACACTTCCAGAAGTCTGAAAAGACAAAATGTATCTTCCTTTCAGCAGCTGACTTATGACACCTCATTGTGTAGTACTGTGAGCGTGGCTCCTGTAATTGGCAGTGTCATATGCCCCACACTTCAGTGAAAGGCAGAACTGGCTGGACAGTTGTATTGCAAACCCTATGCCTATAACTGCAAGGCTGCCATTCAGTGCCTTCCAATAACCAATCTTGTGGAATTAAAAGTATTTTAAATAATTGGTATTAATTTAATTCTGTATGAAATATTAATCTTTCATAAGTAAAAATCACAGTATTGCACTTCACACACTTACGCATCCTTCCCTGTTTGAGGCTGCCCTCTTCTGGGTAATCTGCTTGCTGAACCATTCTGCTCCGTTCTATTCCCTAAGAGGTGCACAAGGAAGGAAAAAAAGAAGATGAAAATAAGATATTGAGTATTGGAAGCCTTTTTATTAGTATGAACCTTGACTGCTGTATGATCTTTTAGGAAGAGAAGAACCAAAACTCACTCACAAAGCAGGACAGATTCCCTTGTAATAAATACACTAAGTTCATCATATTTACTCTTTCATAATTTGACCCCTCGTCAGCTCACAGGACATTTATATTTGTGGGAATCTTGGGATTATAGTAATAGTTACTGGAATTTAGGATAATTGCGACCGATAGTTACATGTTCTGCTCAGAAGCTCTTTATCCTATTAACTGCCTAAGTACAGCTTATCAGCACAGAGCATTATCATGAAAATACTGTCATGACTGAGCAATGAAACCTCTGTTTCCCTTCAATAAAAAGTGCCTGGCCCCTAACTCCATCTTGTAAACAACTACAAAGAGATGCTGCAAATTATTTCCAAAGGCTGACATGCTACACTGACAATATAATATTCTAGCTTGTCCTCTGATGGGGTATGATAAATCATATGCCAGTTGCCATTATTCTGCATGGCAAGTCATGTTTCTACATTTCAATGCACTGATATTTTGAGCAGTTGCAGGTTTCTGGGAAGAAACAGGAATGTATTACCCCAGAAGCCCATTCCCACGGATTTGATAAAACTTCCTAGGCTCACATGTGGTGTTGGTAAATGGGTAAACTGCCTATTTTCTACTTAAACTAGTGAGGCTGTTAACTATTCATGGTATTGTGCTCCACACAATCTATATGGTCACCTTCCAGTGCTTCAAGTGTTTTATCTGTTGAGGCTCCAGCAATACAGAGGTCACATCTGAATAGTAGGAGTCATCTCTGTTTCACTGCAGCTGAAGTTGAAGATACCATATAATGTGGAGTTTTTGTAACTGCCACCTTAAGAATTTCCCCCTTTAACAGTATCAGTCACTTACTCTGGCTTTCATTTTCTACTACAATGTAAAAGCTCCTGGGTTTGGACACAGCTTTGCTCTCCTATGCAATGGATTTCTTTTGGATCCGATAGTCATTAAAAACAAAACAGTGAGGTGTATGCATAAATAGGAAGGAGGAGAGGCAAAACCATACATTCGTTCTTTTTTTTTTCTGGTAGCAGCTTTCCCTTAAATAAGGAGAACAATGAGATGATTAGTGCATTTGACAACTGGCAACTTAGAATCATGGAATCCCAGACTGGTTTGCATTGAAGGGACCTTAGAGCTCATCCAGCTCCAACCCCTGCCACAGGCAGGGACACTTTCCACTAGAGTAGCTTGCTCCAAGCCCCTGTGTCCAACCTGGCCTTGAACACTGCCAGGGATGGGGCTTCTCTGGGCACCCTGTGCCAGCGCCTCAGCACCCTCACAGGGAAGAACTTCTGCCTAAGGGCTCATCTCAGTCTCCCTGTACTTGTAGCCATTCAGACTCTGCTCATCTATCAACACCCAAGAAAGATCTCCTGTTCCTGTGCCAAAGAGGTTCACAAGGTGTTTAAAACAAGTTCTTATCTACTGTCCCTCCAACAGATACACACACATCTTAAAAATATTTCATATTCAACAGCTGTTATTGTAAGGTGAAATTCACCTTTAAGGAAAAGATCTGGAGAAAAATCCAACAGGTCTTCACTGTGGCCTTAACACTGATCCTAGAACAGACGTTCTGCAGTGAGGTGCTATTCCCATTTCACTGTAATACATCTCCTTTCTGACATCAGACATGAAAAGAGAGGCCACACTATGCATTAAACACTGATTTCTTCTTGCTAGATCTAAATTATTACATGCAAGTATCAGCATTAAAGGATAAATTAACTTTTAATATTTTGTAAAACATTTACAAAGACCTCAGAATGACAAGCTGCTATGAAACTTTAAGCTGTTCCACTACAGTAGCTAAAGGTTAAGACCCCAAAGGATTTCATTTTAACTCTAAGTACTCATAGAACTTGCATTTAAATCAGTCATCAGTTACCAAACAGATACTACTTTGAGACAAATGCTACGGAATAATGGAACACTGGTTTGACTTGATTAAAAATAGATCGCTTTAAAACAAATCTTAAAAATATATTAACCCATAATGATGAGAAACCAATGATGATATCCTGTTATTTTAGAATTTTACATCATAAATAGGTTGTGAGATTTTGGGTAGTTGGGCAATATATGAATTATCAGGCAGCCCTACAGGACATACACAGGCAGCCCTACAGGACATACACAGGACAACATAAAGACCTATCTTACAATTGGGTTGGTTCATGTCTTCTCCTAACACAAATGTTACTTTTGAACAATCTTGGCATTCTGTAGGTATTTAGTCTTTTTTAAGGCACTCCTCCACACTAGTATCCAAAAGAAAGCCATATTCATAATACAAGTAATTTGCATAAGTCTGTCCTCTCATGAGATAGATTCATGCTACTTTGTGTACTTCACACAATGCAAAATACATTTTCATAGCTAATGGCATTAATTTGCAATAATTTTCATTCTGTTGTTTTCTCACATATGAATAATAGAAAAATAGGATACAGATTACACTCAAGGCCCCACAGATGATATGTGTAATCTATTACACTTGAAATGAAAGCATCTTTTCAGAAGGAGGAAAGAAATTGTGGGTTTACAAGGCCACCCTGAAACCTGTGATATAAGAGGAAGTCTTATGTACCACCACCTTGTAGCTATAGGAACAGAAGGAAAAAAAAGATGTCTGGTACTACATTACTGAGTAATTATCCATCTAAATGTCAGCTATGGGCATGTGCTCAGTCTTTTTATAGGCAAAAAGAATGTTCCCCTATGTCCATACCTAATATCACTATGGAAATCCAGTACAGGTTCACCTTTCCCATTGACATCCTAATATACAGGCATTTTAGTACAAGACATATTTCCTTCTTTTTTTTTCACCTCAGAGATAAGGCATTTAATGTAAATGCAGAGATGCTGAAGCAGTTTTACTACTTGTAGTAGATTTAAATGTTTGTGTATTATCATGCGTTGTGTCACCAAAAAGGCATCAACTAAAACTAAAGGAAAAGAGGTTGATAAAGCAGGGAATTACAAACATGGAGGGATAGTCAAGAGAACATACCTAAAGAGCCACAGCATTTTTAATTTTGTATCTGACTGCTATCATGATATACAGTTTTAAAAGCCTTTTTCAAAGTGTTTAAGTGCAGGTGGATTTTCAGCCAGGCTGAGGTATGGTTTCATATTCTGTGGACATCCATAACATCGAAACCTGAATTTATACATTAAAAAACATGGGTTTTCTTCAGAACTGCTTTTGTGATGTGCCAACGCTAAGAGCAAGCTTACTGCTGCCAGTGCCTCACACTGGAGTCAGTGGGGACATAGACTGTTCTAATCTGATTCTTCCCTCAGAATACAGGCAATGTTGATTCAGCCATAAGCAGCAGCTAGGTGTGACATGCAGTCACTTTTCTTGATTCTGAATACTTATTGCTCCATTCTGGGTGAGAACAAAGGATGCCACATCATGACAAAACAATTAATTGGAGCATGGTATGAGCTGACCTTTCCAGGACATGACAGATGCCAGGACAGGCACTGACTGCACTAACAACAGCCATCTCTCTGATGTGATGGAGAACACCTACTGACAACCTTTCTCATTGAAAGGTTTTGTTGTACAGGATGAAGAGATTCACATTTACCATGAGGAAGGGAAAAAAAAAAGACTCTTCATTCCATCCAGGAAGCACCATCAAATCCCGAGACTGCTAAAGGAGTTAATACATACAAACACAGTATTTCCTTCTTACTGATGAAAGCAGACACCACTGCCATAGAAATTTGTCATGGGAATACTTTGAAAATACCTTTCTCTCTATAGAAAGCTAGAGTAGATAAATTTACATATCAAAAACATAAGATCCCAAGAAATTAATTCAGAATGCTGCTCACCAGAAGAGTTACTTTTCACAGTTAGAAGAAAGTCAGAAAACAGTGGCGTTAGACTGCTACCTAACTTGGTTTAAACTCCAAGGAGAAAATTCAGCATGTAACTAGGGATATCTGTGGAAATACACAGTGCTTTAAGCACCTTTGCTGAAGAGGAAAATAACCCTAAAGAGAAACTGCTTATGGTCTTTTAAAATACAGGGGTCAATAGCTTGAAGGGCTGATTAAATGTCACTAAAGATTTCTGGATCTAAAATAAGTGGGAATGTGGAGATACCCAAAATAAACATCTTTTTAGGAATCAAGGAGCCATTAGTTTTGAGAAAAGAAATTGTTCACAAGAAAGGGTGGGCACTGTGGCAAAGATACTTGCTTCCTGGCGGACAGAGACTTCCTTCCATCCCAACCCAGGAATAAACCAAGCCTTTCATTGCACATCAACATAATTCTCAGAAGGCCACAAAATTAAACACACACCAACTACATATATGTTAAAATTTGTAAAGGCAAAGATGTTCCTTTCAATATAAGGGAGTTGGAACTAGATGTTCTTAAGGTCCTTTCCGACCCTAACTATTCTGTGATTGATTCTATTTACCAGGTTTGCATAACTAGTTGAGACATGCCATCAGTCACTGAAAGAATGGGTAGAAATTAGGGTAATTCTTCCTCCAAAGGCTTCTTGGAATGTCAATGGTCGACAGAGTCATTTTTGTACTAGTTCCAGGTGCCCGATTCAAAAACACAGCACTGGTGGAGGAGAACAGCTACTCTGGGAAGAATTGGAATCAGCAGAGAACTTAGTAGGAGAGTTGTGAACATTCCGACTGGCAGCAAGTGCTCAACTGTGTTAAAGCTGTTTGACATACAGATAATAAGGACATAAAGCCAGGTCAGAATGAAGACTGACAGCACATTAAAGAATTAGGATATAGCTGCTTCTATTTAGTTTCCTAGAATGACTATGAATTAGGAAAAGTAAAAACCAAAACCAACCCTCTGCACTGTAACTATGCAGAGCTATACTGCCACCAAAACACCCCATGCTTCCATGCTTCCTCAAGTACTCTGCTAATTTAATAAGGAAAAGGGAGGTAATGCTCACAAATTGTACTATTTTCAGCTTGAAGGCTTCCAGTAATTTTCGTTTTTTGGCCAGCCACCTCTGACAAAAATTTCTTGATCACATTCCTTTAAAACTCCCTTTTTTCCTGGAGGAAAACCCCACTTTTTTAGCTCCATCATAAGAGCATACGGTGTGATAACCAGTACAGACTTCTAGATAAATTTCAAACAGTGGTTATTCTATCCTGCTCAGAATATTTCTGCTCATCATAATTCACGAATGTTAGTGAGGCCTCAATTACTGCACATAAATTTCAAAATATATGGGGCATAAAAAGCTCTTTAACCCAACAAAAAGGCATAACAAGAAGTGATGGCTCAAAATTAAAGCCTGACACATTCAAAATCAGACAGGAGAATTTTGTTCCTTTAACAGCAAAGGTAATCGGAAAAGGAACTTGCTAAAAAAGGGAAGTGCCAGATATTACTATTATTATTATTAAAATGATAATTATTTAAATTATAGTATTTAAATAATTTGAAGTCCTCACATTAAAACTTCAGCATCTTTCCAGGAGTTGTATTGCAAGAAATAAAAGCTCTTGGGCTCTATAAGAGAAAGATGACAGAAAAGTCTCTTTGTTATTTTATTTCATATTAAAAAGTCACATCAGGTGACCTAATGGTTCATTAACACTTAAAAAGAACACAATCTATATAGCTATAAAGGCAGGTTAGTCTAAGAAAATATACTTCTTAAGCAGTCATAGTTTGCATCAAAACCTGTGACTCTGTTACTAAGAGGACATATATCCTAAAGTCAATTGGAAATTTTCTGAGAGCTAATGACATTCAATGTTATCCTTACTATGAAAATCAATAGTAAAAAATTACATAAATGAATGCAAAGTGGAAGAGTTAAACTGAACTTCCCTTCTAGCTTTGATTTGATAAAATCTACATAACTTTCAATATTCATGAACAGAAACTCAGAGCTGAGAAATCTTGTATGCATGTATGCACACATCCATGAAACAATTTACCACCAGAAACCTGGAAGTACATAGACCAGGACTTGCACTGCAAATCTCAACGTAGTTCTCAAAAGACCACAAAATTAAACATGCACCAGCTGCAAACATCTTTCCAGTTCTCCTGAGCATGAGAGAGTTCAGACCTCACCTGTGTGCTACAAATAATGAATTACACTGCCTTGCTAGAGTGAACTAGGACTTTGCATTCAACCAGAACTAAGTGTTCAAGGCCAGGTTGGAAGTGGCTTGGAGCAAGCTGCTCTAGTGGAAGATGGTCCTGCCCATGGCAGGGGTTGGAACTGGATGAGCTTTAAGGCCCCTTCCAACCCAAACCAGTCTGGGATTCTATGACTTCCTTGCAGTAATTTTGCACCTAGCAACCTCAGAGCATCTCCCATATAATCCGAAGAACAGTCACTATCAGTAGCTCGTACCAGTGACAGCTCTGACTTAGAAAGCAAACAAATGATGTTGTTAGCACGAACATGCCCAACCAGTGGAATTACTGTAATTCTTGAGAAAAATGCAATGCAGGTGTTTGGGTTTGGGTTGTGGTTTCTTTTTGCTGAGCCAGCAATTTCAATACTGATCAACAGAAAGCAGAACTTGTTGCATAACCAAGTTGTTTCATAAACACCCCCAAGATTTACAGTGAAAAGATTCAAGCTTTAAAAACCAGCATCAGCTTTTCCAGAAGACATCAAAATTCTTTAAGAGGAAAAAGAATTCAAACATACCACATAAGTTACTAAATCAAGTCAATAACTAGGAAAACGTTGCATTAAGAAAGACAAAATGTTAAACTAACCATTTGGAAGGTGATTCTTGAGATTTTGTGCATTTGCATGACTCACAGGAGATGAGAATGGACTCATTTCACGTGTTCCTGTTGTTGGTGAGTAAGTGTTTAGATTTTTCACTTTGTTCTCCAAAAGCGTTGCATCATACCGCTAAATCATAACAAAAGACAAAGAACCCAGATGAATTTTGGCTAAAGATACATAAGTACCTACGTCCATCTAAACCTACAACCGTTGCGAACTTCCCTTATGCAAAACAAGCACATTGTCACCTCTATCCTTCCTATCAGTAGTTACATATAACACCCAAACTAGACAAAGCCTCTCTGAACACTTACTATCTGCTAACAGATTTTCCTTAGTAATTCCCAACTTTATGTACTCCCTTTTAGGGAAAGCCCATGTTCTAGTTTGTGGTGGGTTGACATTTTCTGGCTGCCAAGTGCCCACTGAGCTGCTGTATCACTCCCCATCCTCAGTAACATTAGTTTTACTCAAATAAAAAGCCCTTCAAACACTAACCTACCAATTCTCATATACAAAAAGTATGTAGTTTCCAGATATTTAGTTATTCTGGCAGGAACATTTGATTGTTTGGCCTTTTTTTAAGCAGTTAAACTCTGGTATTATTTCTCCTACAGTACCGAGAGTTTAAGACACATGAACTATAAACAACTAGTTCTCCTGCTATCTATTTAATACTATTTTAATCCTATAAAACCATGGTTATTTCTAATGCTGAACTGCAACTCTGAGAAACTAGGATTTTACTGCAAAACTAATATACAGAGGAAAAAAAACAAATCCACACTTGGTTTGCATATAAAGGGCTTTAGCTCTAGTAACAACTTGCTTCCAACTAAGTCTAGCAGTTTTAAATAACACCATCAACAAGTGTCACAAATGAGACATATGCAGTAACAGAACACATATAGGACTTAAAGGAGGCTCCAACAGCACCAGCAGCATCTTAATGTCATGTTACACTCTTAGAAACCACTGATAAGTGGCTACAGGATTTTCCAGGTAGCTGAATTTGGAGTATCAACCAATGTGCATACTACCAGACCTACAATACTTCACTTTGATGACCTGCTGATCCAACCATTCAACAAAAGAGCTGGCAGGTACTCCATGTAGCAAGCTGCAGAACGACAGCTTTCTAGTCCTGTCTACCTTTTATTTCAAGGATAAAATCTGCAGGCACGTAAACTACTGCTTCCAAACAAGACTAGCCACCTCTGAAGAGAAGAATCCAAGTAGTGAACAACTGACTTCATAGAATCATAGAAGGGTCCGGGTCAGACCTTCAAAAGTCATCTAGTCCAAACCCCTTGCACCGTATTAGCACCAGTTGTACAAAGAATAAAGGGACATTTTAGGCAGCATCATTTTTTCCAGTCCCTTTCAAAATTCTTTCATGGGCTTAAAGATGGGCTGTCCAATGCAGTGAAAAAGGCATTTTTTTTATACTGGTTAGTATGTTATTTTCCCTTGGAGATATAGTATAATCAAAACAAATCTCACATTAAAATGGAGTAAGTGATTTCTTCATTGTTACACTCCTGAGACTTTGAGTTAGAGGAGCAAATTAATTTATCTCCGTGTAGTAAGCAAAAAATTGACTAATTCACTTCTCAAATAACCACCCTCTTCTACCAACTTGAGCCTCATTGCATCTGTAAAACTGAGTATCTATCATTTGTCTTCATGTCAGTCATAACAGTCCTTCAATTTCCTACAGTATTTCTTCAATCAAAGCTTTATTGTACATGATTATTCTATAATCTCTTTAAGTTCCATTTATTATTCCATTTATTAATGTTAGATAGTATAATAGGTAAGCATATTACTCTGTTTCAACACCATGAATGAAATAGAAGGTATCTAGGATTTATATTCATTAAAGAATACACAGTACTTAAGCCAAGTTGGGGGGGATATCAGTCAACCTTATATTTGCACTCTGGTAACCGACCTATCCACTCCAATTTCAAATTAGTAACTCATTTATTCATACTTAATCATACATTGTCCTGTTTTGCTGGAATAAGACCCTCACACTACCCCTTTTTAAACCAGATGAAACAATGGACATACAAATCTTTGAGTCCAGTAAGGATTCCTCAGCACAGGAATCCCCTGCATGCTCTGGGAAGAGGACGGCTGGGGACATGATTCAGAGCAAAGGCAGCTCAGCTGGGAGCATGGGACAGCATGGAAAGACAACTCTGAGAAGGCCTAAACCTCATAGGCTTAAGGTCTCACAAATAACCCCTGGAAACTACAGCAGTTTCAGATCTCAAAAGGGCTCTGCAGTACTTTTAGCGTCAAAAAATAGGTTTATCAGGTGACACGTGTGAAAGCCACAAGCCATGTCAGGATGTCAGCCAGATCAGATCAGAAAGCTACAGATACAAAGGTGACTTAAAGTCCCTACTGTCCAGCAGGTACATTTTAAATTGTTGCCATGTACCCACTAGAGGCAACATATGAACGAAAAATCATAACATAAACCTACATTACTGAGATTCCAGTAGAAGTTCTTATCATTCAGATGGGCTTTTTGCAGCACAAGAATCTGAATGCAAGTAACCATCAAGTAACTACCTTATGGGGAGGAAGCAGGGAAGGAATAGCTTTAGGGAAGGAAAAGAACCCTATGTAGTTTCAGCTGGACCACTCATCTACAAAAACATTACTAAAGCCCAAGAAACAGATGCAAAATTACAGTCACAGCTGCATTCTGAGCAGAACAAGTTGGGTAATGGTACACTAAGCTGCTAATTAAATTGCTAATGATTTTTTTTAGTGCCACTGCAGTATTTTGCCACCTTTGTTTAAATTCAAAAGAAAAAGCATCTAGAAAATTTTTAAAATGGCAAATTCCTGTCTCGCTAAATACCAGTGAGAGCTCCAAAAAAGTGCTGCATATAAGCAAATCTCTGAGAAATGACAGAGATTTACTGGGAGCTCATTTGCTGACCAGCTATTTCTATTTACTTCTCCAAAATTCTCCTTCCTTTAAACACTGCCATCCTCACCAGCTCCTCTGGACTGATGCCTGCAGCAACACCCACTGTTGGTAGGAGCAGATAATAAACTGACATATGTCATGACATGCTGGTACACAGAGTATACTATAGCTGCATTTACAGAAAATAATAGCAACAGTACAATTTTATTTTTATTGTGATAACTGTGGTGAAATTTATTGCAGTGTTGGTACTTTAGTGTTTCATTCTGCCAGATTAGCTGAGGGAGGTAATTATATCCTTGACATGAAAATGCCTTTAATGTTTTCATTTCAATTTTGCAGTTTATAATATGCAGATTACAGCATGATCATAATTCCATATTGTTCCACGTACAATTACATGGCAGAACATTTGCTTCCAGGATAATGGAGCTAATTTCTAATAAATGATTTCACCAAGGAACTTAACTTGTTCAGCTCTTGGGTAAATAGTGATGGCAATAAAAATATGCATCTTTCTCCATTATTTTCCAGTGATTCATGCAGATGTACATTAGTTAATGCCAGGCAGTTCCATGACAAAAGGAATATAATAAATTTTATACTAATATTTTCAGCAGTAGTTTTGTGTCTTGTTAAGATTTTCCTAGACAACATCCAATCTGTAACAATAGAAATGAAGCTCTAACAAAATACCATGTCTATCCACACATGTGTGGATATAAAAACATGTATATATACATACACATATATACAGCCCAGATGATTCCATACACCAAAAAATACTTACAATATCTTTTTTAATACTGTCAAGCATTAACGCTCTCTTAGCTCTGCAAGAGAAAAATGCAGACAAGTTTTATTGTCATCCAGGCATAAAGATTTCTCTTAGTAAGGTCTATAACTGGTAATTTTATAGACATTTTTCTTTCTTGTGTTTCACATTTTTTTAATACTATGCAAGAAAATTAATGTCATCAAAAGAAAATAAAATTTAACTGATTAAAATAGCATGTACCAAAAACATTGCTTGTTTATAAGGATAAAGTGTTTGCATAAGAAAATCCACTTCTCCATTTTATACTAGAGACAAAAATCAAGACAGTGAAGTGAAATCACACTGTATATTTGTCTCTTTTTCAAAGACTAAAACCAAGGAAAGAATGCAAAAGAATTATCATTTACATACCTTCTGAGCAAGGGTTGAAATTATTTTGCCATTAGTAGAAATAATGTATTAGACATTTAAAACACAGGTACAGCCAAGGTGAAAAAAGTAGTTCTTCCCATCATTTTAGCTCTTAACATGATTCAGTGCTACCAGACTATGTCTTAACTGGGGAACAGATGCTCTATGTCTTTACAGGTCCCCAAACCATATGAAACTATCTGCTAGTCTTCCTCACTATACTGATTCAGGAACATGCCAAGCTCTCGCTGCAAAATCTGCTCTGCTGAACTGGATGCCCAGCTGTTAATGGCAACACTAGAAGAGGAAAGCTGAATATTTATAATACTTTATATCGTACAGCTGTCTTCTAAAGAGCAGTCATCAAAATTTTATTGAATGCAGACTAAATGCTCCAAGGAAAGAAAGGTCAACATAAATTAAGACTATTTTTCCCAGAGACAACTGGAACTTTTTAAGCACACTCCTAAATCTTAACAATAGTTTAAAGCATGATATAAAACAATAGGGGGGGAGGATTAAAATCTTTTTAAGAGCAATCCCCAAGAAACATATTTATTATATAAAATTATATTTATTATATCAAACAAGATTTGGAAAATGCATCGTATTTCAAGGACTTAGTTCAGTTCTCATCTTGGAAAAGAATGTTTTGACTTTGAAGATGACCTCATTCCAAACATATCCTTTTAAAATTTATGTTACTACTCCAAAACTGCAAATTAAAGGATTGGAAAAATAGAATGAAAACACATCTTTGAAATTTATCTCTGGTAACAGTGTGATATGAATAGTGTTTTACAACTATCAGTATTACAAGAAGGGGAAGAGAAGTATTCTATCTTAAAAAAGCCAAGTAAACAGGTAACATTTAAATTAAAAAAGCGAGTGAAATTCTTGCCAAAGGGCAGTCAAAGCTGTAACAGTTTGATGGAATTCTTTACAATGTATTTCTTTTTTTAATAAAAGCCCATATTGCTTAAGGAATGCAGACTCCATTCCATCTTTCACCCCGGTGGCAGCAGAGAAACATATTTATTAATACATCTACTCTGAAAGGATGCTCTAGGGGCCAATGCATTTGCATGCTATACTAAGGCATGTCATGATGGAAGTTTTTATGATGGAATTCAAAAGAAGCTGGAAGCCAAAGCAAAGCAGAATCTGGACTCGACATAGCTGTAGGATGAAGATAAATGAGAAATGACATGAAAATCCCAGTAAATTATAAACATTTAGAAAATTTCTATGGTGAAAGTTGTGAACTGGTCAAGGCTATGTTCTTTAAAGTCTGTCAAATATAGTAGAGATGCAGACAGCCCAGATTTGATGCTCTGTAAAACCCCTGCAAACACCTTGCGCTATGGTGGCGAAGAGGCAGCCTCATTCCAGGCAAGCACTTCAGTGTTGGAAGGAGCTGGCATATCGTATAGGGAGATACAATTTTGTTTTCAGGAGTTCAACTTTACCTTGCTTTTCCCAATCCACCCTACCCAGCAGCTTGGTTTGCTTGTTTTTAGTGATTGTCTTTCTGATGCCATAATGTGAGAAGGTAAATCTCTGGGCAACTGTGAGTCACTCATATCAAGTTCAAATGTGTGGCTAGGACAACTGAAACAAAATTCATCCAGACATCGAACATGAAGACCCAGCTGGCTAAAGTGTCTTCTTTACAATCGTTCCAAAGATGAATGTGGAGAAAACCCCATATATACACCTAGGTGCGAACAAAATCCTGAAGTATTTTAGGAAGCACTATGGAGAAGGAGCACCAACTTTGGTTTGGTTTCTCTTTTTTATATGGCTGGAAAAGGTCCCCTCCAAACCAAACTACTCTCCAATTCTATAAAAGCCTTCCTTTGGCTATGGTGTAGAATCAAATGTCAGAATGTGAACAAGAATAGGAGATAGAAAAATGAGGCATGTGTAATGACAGTACACTTATTTACCCAAGTTTTTCTTCTGCCTTTGAATTGTTGGCCTGACAACCTAACTAGGCAGAGCATGATGGCACATGTTCATGGCCAAGTCCATCCTGCAATGATTATTTTGTCCATAGGACTTATCAGCTTAAAGAACTACATATTACTTCTATAGCATATTGTTCATCCATCATGCCAGGTCATATTGTCAGTTTCCTGCTAATACCTTCACTCATTTGAACAATGCTTTGATGAAACCACTTAGATGAGGAACTGTTTAACACCGAGAGTCTTAGGTACGCAATTTAACTTTCCATAAAGAGATAAATTATTTATATTGTTTTTAATTCCACATACACTTAACGTTCCCTCCACAATTCATTGATGAATAAATGCAATGGCAACAGCCACATACAGATTGAATGCACAAAAAAGAACATAGAGAAACAGGGACCTGATCATATTATTTTATTAAAAACACCCTAGGGAGTACTGTAGCCCATTTTGAGGCCATTTCAGTTAGCTTCCACTTAATGTTCTACTTTTACTGGGGAAAAAAGAAAGTACCTCTATGCTATTTACATATTCATGATATTTGCTTCATCTTCAAAACCTGCCGGCAAAAATGTCTTATTAATAGGAAAAGCAGAAAAAATCACCCTGAACCATTTTCTATGTTCAGCTTAAATGGTAGTTAAACTCAGTGTGCAATCAGGGACTTAAACACCAAAACAGTATCAAAGTTTGCGTATCGGTGTTTCCTTTGTATTACTACTGTCTGGCATGATTACTTCAAGTGCTCAAGAATGGCAGACTGGAACCTATGTTAGCTCTAACATCAGTTATCTTTGAAGTTGTGTAAGGAGCTGTAAACTGGGATAATAACCCAAGCCTGTATAGAGGCAACATGAGCCTCATGGCCTCGCCTTAACAGCTGTTGAAGTCAGCAACATCCTACACATTACTGGCTCTTCAGAAGCCCATGATTAGCAAAGATACACAAGAACAGCACCAGACTTTGAATCACAGAATCCCAGCCTGGTTTGTGTTGGAAAGGACCTTAAAGCTCCTCCAGCTCCAACCCCTGCCACAGGCAGGGACCCCTTCCACTGGAGCAGCTTGCTCCAAGCCCCTGTGTCCAACCTGGCCTTGAGCACTGCCAGGGATGGGGCAGCCACAGCTTCTCTGGGCACCCTGTGCCAGCGCCTCAGCACCCTCACAGGGAAGAACTTTTCCTTTTACTTAACCTAAACTTCCCCTGTTCAAGTTTTAACTTATCACCCCTTCTCCTGTTGCTACAATCCCCGATGAAGAGACATGTTTATCCATAGGGAGCGCAGCGATAAATCACCGCCCTCCCTCGGCTGGGGAAGCCGGGCACGGCCATGTAACTTAAACTTCCCCCCATACCAACAGGCATCGTCTCCCCAGCACTCCGCCTGGACAAGGGCTCTGCCCAGGGAGCCACCATCTTAGATGCTTCCCGGTCAAATCCAACGCTCGGGAGACGGGGCTGGGAATGAAACCCGCCCTTCCCACACAGCGGAGCGCTCCTCCCCTCTCCGGACAGCCCGGGGAGCGAGCCTCTCCTCAGGGAACGAGCTCGCTGCCGGATCAGAAACCCGCGGGTCGCCGAGAGCAACGCTCTGCCTCAGCGTCCCACACGGGCCCCGGCTCCATCGCCCGCCCCGCACCACAGGCTCCCGCTGCGGAGGGGTTATAGTGGCTCCCAGAACCGAGCTCCTCAGCTCCGCCGCCCACCCCGGTACCTACGACATCGCGACGCCTGGAGCCGCTCCTGCCGCCCTTGTGGATCTCCCGCCGCTGCCGCCGTGCACCGGCCAAAGGCCTCCGGCTGGAAACGGCGCTGAGGGGCGGGGCGGGAGCCGAGCCGAGCCGAGCAGCCCCGCGGGGCGGAGGGGTGGCTCCTCGGGCCCCGCCGCCCCGGTGCTGTGCAGCGGTAGGAGCCAGGCCGGTGGTGGCTTCCTCCCCTTGGGAAGGTGGGTGCAAGCCCAGCTTGGGCGGGAGATGAGGGGCGGCCAACGCATCCCCTCAGGGCAGGATGGAGGGGGACCGGAGGGGGAGTGGTTCGTATGGGGGGGGGGGGGGAAGGGGTTGTAATGACTTCTGTGTCTTTTGGGTGGTAAATGTAACCCCAGAAAACCCCTGCTCCCAGTGGAGAAGGAGATAACGAGATTTGTGTGGTAAAAGTTTCCGTGTTTCAGGTGAGGCCTCGGTGCTTGGGCTCGGAAGGTGGGAAGCTCGCAGCTGGTGTGTGTTTGCTGCGGATGGAGGTCTGGGACCGTGGTGGGAAAGGTCCGTGTGGTAGTGACCGGTATGGCTTAATTCGTAGTTAGAACATCGTTTTTATTGGAATCATAGCAACTAAAACTGAAGGTAATAGGTAGTGTTGTCTTCCCACTTTAAGGCAAGGCTGGATCGTTCCCCTCCATCTGTTTTGTCTGAAGTGTCGTTTGTGCAGTAAAAGCATACCATGGGGCTGCTGGCAGAGCTGTCACTAAGCTATTGCTCGCTGGATTTCTGAGCAGTGCATTGGCAGCACTTCTGGTCAGAATTGTGGCCCACGGAAGAAATATTCGCGGTAATGGGAAGTCTGTGGAGTATAAAGGAGAGTTCACGTTTTATAAACTAGTTGCTGGAAAATTAACATTTATTATTCTTTTCCTCCTCGACTTTAACCCACTTCCATTTTGTGTGTGTAACGCTGGTGTTTAATTATAGTGACACCCGTCTGCAGTAACCAGACTGTATCACAGTGTCCCTATGGGGTCCTTCTAATGCCAGTGTAATATTAAAGTGTCAGGCAGGCAGTCTGTGTATTATAAATAGGGTACTTCATCCATGATAAGCAATTATTATCTTTCTTTCCCAAGTGTAAAAGACCTATATAACTCAACAAGGTGCAAGTGATTTAGGCCTTCTGAGTAAAAATCCAATGAGTCCTGAAGGGGACCCTACGATATCGTTGTCTTGTTGCTGAACTTGAGATATTTAATTTATTATACTGGAATATATTTTCTGAAGTCAACACGGTAAAATAATAGGAGAGGCTGTTAGACCAACAGGATTTAGTGGCCCTCTGTGATGGCCTTCTAAAAACCTTAATCACCCTTGGTAAAAGCAGAGCTGCTGTTAGAGTTTACTGGTCATTGGTGAGCAAACAGTATTAGTTAGTTTTGAGTGGCTGTAATATTGTAGAAAAAACACATTTTATACTTTTTACCATGTATTTACAATTATATGGGTAGTGTTCTTGTACTTTAAAGGCCTGAGTGGCATAGTTTTATGCACGTTATATTCAGATAACTATTAAAAGTAGAATAGTGCTTTACTTCACATACTTGAAGGATTAAGGGTTATAATTTTGACCAATTTTACTATTAGCTGTATGTTTCATTGAGTTACAACTAAAATCAGAAAACAAGCTCAGTCTACTGTGGGTTGGTTGGCACCATAAAAAAACATGTAATCAATTTAATAACTATATCACTTCTTTAACACTGGATGTTATATGGCATTCATGACATTAACAGTGTGTCTGCTGAAGCTGTGCAAAGCTACCTGGTTTTCCAGCTGTATCAGTCTTGGAAATATGAAAGTCAGCTTTTGAGTGAGGGTGAAAATCCTGACAAATATGCAGTTCAACATAAACATGGTCACATGTGGTTTCCGCTGCAGGACAAAGGAGGCTTTTACTCTGCTGTTAACACCAAGAAATATAACAGTGAATCCAACATAAGTCAGTCGCACTCATGCAGCCACAGAGCTGTCTCCAGTGAGATAAGCACTGCGTCCATTCTTGGTAGTATTTACTTTACTGTTGTTGCTGTTTGGTGAAAAAGTCTTTTAGATAATTCTGTGCCTCTCACACCTGTGGCCATGTTTAAATTTACCTTTTTCCCCCCAAAACACTCCAACCTTTCTACTGCTGGTGAGTTCTAGCAACAGTGAGAGTGGCACTGAGAGCAAAACAGTGGTAGGTATGGCATATTCATTTATTAATATGAACATACCGTAATAATATTATGTCCATTAACATCAGCATTGTGACAGATCATGCAAAGTATAGACAGTGATAGTAAAGTCCTCAGAGCCAACAAGTGTGCTTCTGTACAAATTATCCCATTTCTTTCTGTCATGATGGGAGTTTAGCTCATGTGGCAAGAATAGAAATTCTGGTGGAAGTGTGTAGTAAGGACAAGTCCTAGTGGTTCATTTCTAAACATGGACAGCAGTGATTTCTATCACAGATAACTTGAAAGTTCGTTTTTATGCTTTCAAGTGACATGACTATATAATCATTGTGATATCAAATGAGAATTAAAAACATGACCTTGATGTTAGGATAGTTTTTGCTAGTCTGTGTTTCAGAGGACAAAGCAGATGTTTTATTAAACAGGCAAGGCAGTAACAAGTTCTAACTGTAATTGTATCCTTCACAGAATGGCCAGCAGTCCTGAGGATAACACTTCCCTCCTCAATGAGAAAGTCGTGCACCCAGAAGGTTCCCAAGCAAAGAAGTCTCAGCGTGCAGAAGAAGCCACCTTTTACATGAACTGCCGAGCAGCTTATCTAGCTGTTTTAAAAAGCAGTTTAGAAAATATTAAGTCAAAGGAACAGCTCAGATTAGGTAATGAATAGATTATTTCTTTTCCCTATAACTACTATGTGTGATGATTACAGCGGGTAGTTTACAAGCAGCAGTCAGTAATTTAGTAGTGTGTAACCCAGTGCATAAACTCAGTAACTGTTTCAAGGAATTTACAGTAGGTTTAGATAGAGTTCAAATTTCAGGTGTTGGTAGGTGCATCTTTGAAGACATTTTCATCCTTAATCTTTGCTGCTAAGTGTTGGAAGACTCATGGAAGTGGGAATGGTAGACAGAGCTTTTCATCTGTAAATCACCAGCATCATGGCAAAAGTCCATGCTAGCTATAAGCTTACAGAGGACCCAAGTGAATTGTTTAAAAGCACCGAATTTGATGGTAGTGTTGTTGCTTACCTGAGGTGGACCTGTTTAGTGCTTTGTGATTGTGACACTTCAACAAGTTTTTCCCTCTCCCTGTCAAATGATTAAGTGAGTTGGTCTCAGTTCAGTTAATAACTGTGGGCAATTGCCCTGGCCCAGAAAATCACCATGAACTGGCATGAATTGGCACAGAGGTTTGCAGACTCAGAGAAGAGGTAGGTACTGGAGGTGCAGATACAGGAATTTACCCTCAGAGCAGCTCTGAGTAAGTGAATATGCTGCCTTTCCTCTCCCAATTTATGTGATCAAATGGATTGTTTCAGACACTGGTGTTTCATAAAAAAAAAATCTTACTCTTATTTAACCTCCTACTGAATTACAATGTTCCCATAAACTAAAATCAAAAGTTTCTGTTTTTTCATCTCTCTAATATTTGTGGATAAGTTATACTGCTGTCATCAGTGCAACGGGAAAAAACACCTGCTTAAGCTGTGCTGGATAAAGGTGTTTGTAGATCCTGTTTGTTTCAAAAACCTATGGACTTTCAAAGTTATTTTCATGGAGTTACAGAAGTTTACTCCGGAAATGGTAGTTAGGGCTCTGTGTTAGAAACTGATTTCTTTGTAACATATCTTAGTGACTGAGTAAGCTAAGGAGTAAGATAAGACTTCAATTTTGAAATAGGTTTTACTCTCCCAGATAATACTTTTCAAACAAATATAATCCAACTTTGCTACCTCCTGGAGTTGTAGGATTGTGTTTTGGGTCTTTTGGTGTTTTTCTTTCTTTCTTAGAGCATTTTTGTTTTTTCATGAAGAAGTTTATTTGTGGTTGTATATAACAGCATGGGATTATGCTGGGAAACTCATGAAAGTGTCTTTCTGTCCTGTTTTTTACCTGGAGTTCTGTGATGTGAAAATCTTATCTTACTTTATTGGAAACATGTTTCCAGCTCATGTGGTTGACAAGAAATCATGAGAACATGAATCTTCAGCTAGATAAAGAGAACTGAAAGGTGTCGTTAAAAGCCTAATGATTTTTATTTTGTGGGTTTTGGGGTGCATCTGAGAGTGCATTTGGGATTGTGGTTTCTCAAGTCTTCCTCATAGGTTCTGATGCCAGGAAAAGGTATGTGTGTGTATTATGGCATTTCAGTTGTTTGTAGTAAAACCCCCAAGCGGCAGCTAAAGTCAAAGCCATGCTGAACTGTCAAGTAATTTAGTTATATTGTAATTCTAATGACCAGGTTTTATTTGCATATGTGAGGAAATATTTGTCACTAATGGCTGCATTGTCCATGCCTAAAATATGTGAGGTCTCCATGTGGAGACTCCGCTATAAAAGCTGAGCATAGCTTCTTCCCTGTACCAGTACATGAAGTTCTACCCACTGAAAACCACATTCTTTCCCCATGTGACTTAGTGTTATCCAGGCTTTCTCAGCTGTAATAAAAGTGCCTTTATAGCATCCTAATGATAGTTTTGGATAATCTGGATTTTAAGATAGGAGTGGTGTGAACAAATGTCATCTCTTTTATATATGCTTTGGCTTTCATCTCTATCCATATGCCGCTTTGCCATGTAGCATGTGTTTGGGCATTTTGGTTTCAAGGTCAACTCAAAACAGGCAGTTAATTGCTCAGTCTCCCAGTCTCTTTAGAGATATTTAAGAACTAGAATTTGAAAGCATTCAGAGTTATAGACTTTTATTGCATCTTAAGTAAATTCTGGCATTTATCAAATGGCTGGTGCTGGTGTTTAAGCATCTCTTGCTACATGATGTTTGCCTAAATTCTAAACTAAAATATTAACTAGAGACTGGCCCTGCAAAATGTTATTTGTAGGAGTTTGACTTATTCATGGAATGTAACTTCATTTCTTGTGTTGTAA